CCCCAAAACCCCAAAACCCCCAAGTAGAAAAGTAAAGAGATTATTTAGATTTCAATAATTTCTACTACTCATTCAATTTCAGATTTCCATATTAGTATGATCTGTATTTCATTATATTTTCTCGATAATTTCATCCTCTTTTACAATTTCCTTTTTGAACTTAGCTAATGCACATTCAAATTTGATATCTTCAAGATGAGCTTGCTCATAACTTTCGAGCATATCCACAGCTAGTTCCTTCACATAAAGGCATCCTGCTATTTCCTTCAAGAATTCCTCAAATACGACAATCGAATAGATCTCTCTTCTCTTTTTCATAAACAATTCAGAGAGCTAAGTATTTCCAATTACCAATGAATTCACCTTCTCTGATAAACTATAAGCTAGGAAATCTGGTTCTTTCTTAACAGCATTTACTAGCAATACTAGCATTCTATCTTGTAGTAATTCCTCAATCTTCTCATTAATGATCCTTAATATTGAAAGGAATTGGCAAGGATTTGAATAGTGCTAGGAAGAGAATTAGGAGGGAATCTCAAACAAGAATAAGTGCAAAAGAGTGGATTTACTGTGCATCTAGTCAACCATATTATATTCCTCATCTAGTTTGGCTGGAAAGCTAAAGATCCTACTTATAATGCTCTAAAAAATAAAAAATGTACTAAATTATTACAGTTAAGAGCAAATTTTCTTCAGGAGTGTTTGCCAGAAATTACTATAACTTAGCTGATATTTGTCTAATAAAATCTCCTTTCTGACTAAACGTGGAAGGATCTATTCTTTCTATATCGTCCAATTCGTAATTTGCAGACATACTTTTACTCTTCAAACTTGGAGTTGGGCTGCTGTAAGAGTCATCAAAATTCAGTTTTCTTCCAGGGAACTTGTTCATCCCTGTAATATCCTCAAGTTAAAAGTCCTCATCATCCTCAGTTGGAAGAGTGAAATCATTTGTTTCTTCCTATATCTTATAAATCTACGGTCCGTCAACTCCTCTTTTCGGTGATTGTAATATTTGATTGTCGAATTCTGCCAATGTCATTGAGTGATCACTCATCAGTAAAAAGCTGAAGATATCCATCATTTCCATCCCATCATCTGTAAGCATTAAGTTTTACTCATTCAATTACATACTAATTGCTTCTGATACTTTTTGCAATTAAGATACAAGAATGTTATTTAGTTCCTGATAGTTGTTAGTTTTATGACTATTGTAGATAAAGCTGCTGGCTGTAGGGAACATTTGAATAAATTTATCTTGAAGTTTTGAGATAGAGCTAACTTAAATTGATTACTAGTTATTATGACCTTGAATACTTGTAGATACATATTTCTGTATTGATTGAAGGAACAATGCATCGTTAATCTCAATAATATTTTTCTCTAAAATGAGGTCCAAGAATTTCAACACAGTGAAGCCAATCTTTTCTTCTTTCTTGTGAAGATTCTTGAAAAGCATTTGAAGAAGTTGCTTAGATTTATGATTATCATGATTATAAACTGGGCCGATGTAGATAGCAGAGTTTTAATTAGAGTTATAATTGTCCAAAGCGTCATCATAAAAGCTAGATTCCATAACTGAATCTATGATTTCATTCATTCTAGCTGCTTTTTGGTGAAGTGGAGACTGCAAGGGAGGCATGAATGGATTATTAATAGCATAACTTGACTTCATATTTTTGTGCTCGAAGTTAGCTCTGCTGATTTTCAATTGAATATCGTTTGCGAAATTTCTCTATGGGCGAGCTGTGAGACTGGGTGCATAGTTGAATGGCTGAGATTGTTTGCCTGAAGAATTAGAGTTGTAAGCGATAGATGATTGCCTGCTATGCTTATATGATTCTTTTAACGATTCATGATCACTCTTTTCCAATAAGCTATCAAATTTTGATATTGAAAGAAGAGATTGGCGATTGTTAGGTTCCTCTTGGAGTGCTATATTCATACTAGCAGGAAAACCAAACAGAAAATGATATACAATTTTGATAAGTTTTGAACAAGTAAACATGGTAAGTATTTGGATAACATACTGCAATGAAGTTCTAATGATCTTTGGCTTATCAGCCTTAAGTAATCTAGGCTAAAGAGTTTCAAGTAATAATTAGTTAAATATCTCAGTGCACAGATTTTCTATTAACTTGCCTGAATGTAAAATACACAATGCACATTTGTTTAAAAATGCACAAAATTTTACGAACTCTCTGAATTCAGCATGCTAGTCTTTTTTATCGTTTGAGAAGATTTAAGTAATTTACTCATTTAAATTGAGTTGGGCTAAGAATTTAGACTCTTCATCTTCTGGATACTGTGACACTACTTTATTATTTGATATAAGATCCACTTCTTATGGCAGCGCTTAGAAGTAATATCCTAATTTGGCTACTAAAATCACACAAATTTCAGACTCCTCCACTATATACCTAAGCACCTCCTAATTATTTAGCTTCAAATGCATCAGAATGGAGTCTCTAAGAATTAACTTGAGATCTTCACTCTCTGAAATATCTTCCTTTATTAATAAAAGCAGCAAGATTGACATTGGCAAATATGCACCTTTCTTAGTTCCGATTCTTGAGTCGGTAAAGAGCAAATTAACAAGAGAAGGCTATTCATAAATTTTAGTGGTAAGAGACTTGATGAGTTCAATAATGTACTTCTTTAGGTCGCCATTATCATATTATAAGTCGAGCATATTGTTTTTTATTGAGTTATGGATGTGCATCATAAGCTGCATGATGGCAGGATGAACTTCTTGATGATTGATAATATGAGTTGCCTGAATATCAAGAATGATATAACTTATGAATTTCAAGCATATTACAAATAACCCTTGCGGTCTATCATTTTTACCGTAAGCAACCAATTCTTAAATGATTCCTGTCTTCAAAGTATACTCAAGACAGTCTCCAATAGTCTTATTCTCCCTATTTTCAAGATCTTCTTAAAGAATTGCATCTAGAACCTGTTATAATCTGGGCTTCAGTTTTTCTTCTATGCATTTTTTACTATTATTTTCGTATTTTTCAGGGTCAATTAGAATCTTATCAAGATCAGATCTAAACTTCTTCCAATTAAGCTCAAGTCTCTCTAGGTTAGTCTAAGTAACCTTCTGCTATTTGTTTGAAAAAAAACTTGCCACAATATTCTTAGATGACTGCTCCTTACTTCTTATCTATGCTGATGTCTCTATTTATTATGGGAGGTTTTGCATTTTCTAACTAATCTTTGGATTAGGGTGGTTTGGTTCATTTTAAGAAGTCTTTCGATCCTCCCCCATACTCATAAGACTTTTGAAAAAGCCTGCAAATTTTCCTTACGACATTTTAATTTAATTTAATAGTATTTAAATACTTCATTTTATATATTCAATTTAAAGTGGTGGGGTTTTGGGGTTTTGGGGGGTTGTTGGAACATTTTTAGTAATACCTAGCTTTATTGGA